ACTCGGAACTGGAACGTTTTCAGAGTTTCAAAGTCAAAACTTTTTAGCGCTGAAATGTGTCCATTTTCCGAATTGATATTCAGAAAAGATGCCATGTCATTATGTCCGCCTTTCCCTCTAATTATAAGATAAGACACTGCTGCATTGTCATTTAAGTCTTTATCATTTGCACTAACAGAATATATTAATGCGCCAGGATTATTGTTTTCCGTCAAATATAATTCCAAGGGACTCTGTGAGAACTCTGGGACGTTGTCATTCACATCTGACACCTGAATACTCAAAGTTTTGAATGTGGAAAGTGGAGGCTCACCATAATCTGTAGCTGTTATTGAAATGTCATAATGTGACAGAGTTTCTCTGTCCAATGTGTCTTTTGTCACTAAAGAGTACATGTTTTCTTTAAACGATGGTTTTAATTCAAATGGTACATTCCCCGTCAGACTGCACATTACTTTGCCATTCAGGCCGGAATCAATGTCTGTAACACTAATAAGAGAGATCACGGTCCCATGTTTTGAATCCTCTGGGACCATGCTAGATATTGATGTCACCTCTATGTCTGGTTCATTGTCATTTACATCTTGGATCTTTATTATAACGCTGCAGTCCGTTGTTGTCGGGGGCTGACCTCTGTCAGAGGCTTGGACGTCTAACTTGAAAACATCAGCTGTCTCATAGTCAATTTGTCCTTTAACTCGAATCTCGCCTGAATTTTTGTCTAGAGTAAATAACTCCAACACCTTGGCATTCATGTCACCTCCAAATGCGTACTCGACATCCCCGTTAGCTCCCTCGTCCAGATCAGTTGCTTGGACTTTTATCACAAGCGTTTCGAAGGCAACATTTTCTTGTAATATCACAGAATAAACCTCCTTCGAAAAAGTAGGTCTGTTGTCATTGATATCGAGAACCATTAATGTAAGATTTAGATTAGCTGATTTTAGTGGTGTCCCTCCATCCATAGCGGTCAAAATCAAGCAATGGTTGGTTTTCTGCTCTCTGTCCAATGGCCTCTGCAACACTAAGAAGGGAATTTTATCTTCTCCCCTTTCTCGAGTTTCAAGATTAAAATGATCGTTTTGACTAAGTTTATAGCGCTGGACTGAATTTATTCCAACGTCTGGATCACGTGCGCCTGGTAATTGAAATCGTGCTCCTGGCAAAGTATTCTCCGTTATTTCTAGAACCTTTTCTTTCTCGACAAACATCGGTGCATGGTCGTTAGCATCCGTTATTTCCACCGTGACATAATGGATCTCAAGTGGATTTTCAACAACGATTTTCAGATCTATTAAACAATCAACATTTCTATCGCACAGCTTTTCTCTATCGAGATTCTTATGAACATACAAAACGCCATTGTTCGGGTTTACCTCAAATAGCGCGTCCTGAGGTCCAGACACAATACGAAAACGCCTGTTTATCAATGTACTGACATCAAGGCCCAAATCCTTGGCAATATTTCCAATAACTGCTCCTAGTTTAACTTCCTCTGGAGTCGAGTATTTTATTTGAGCCGAAATCAGCTCAACAAAGCCAAACAGGAGAGAGAGAAATAAAGGACCCGTCCAAGACGTCATTCTACCTCTTTGTCCTTTGTTTCCTTTGGTGTAATCATTTGAAATAGTATCCACAAATATATTCCTCTTCAAACGCCTCTAGTTCTCCTGAGATTGTATTTCAGAAAACCACGTTCGCGACGGAGAGATGATATCAGAATCGAGGGCATTATTTGCGTTCGAGCTGGAATACACAATTTGAAAGGGGCAGAGTCAATTTTGACTGACGCCTTAGCAATACTCTAATGTAACACTGACACCCAGTGGACCACCAAATCCCTTCGTTTTGTATAAAGGAGAAAGATAACATAAAACATAGAACAGAAACATCCCCAGTGCGAAGTTGAGTCTCACGAAATGCTCCACAGTCAACTACATTTTGAACTTATTCGCAACAATATCGCAGGACAGCCAACAGCAAATGAAACAAACAGGTTACAATAGCTTAGTAGCCCGTTGTCACCAACCACTGAAGTATTTCCATTACTACTCAGGACTATGATTCTAAGATACATAAGACAAACATGCAGCACCATGGACAGAGCAATAATCTTATATGGTTGATGAGCTTAACTAAGTAGTCTACATTGTCGAGTGTTGTTAAACTAAGTAAAATACTCTCTTCTAGTCTAGATACGTTTAAAACACCACAACGTGAGCAAAATCATCACGACCAGATTCCAGTATGGACAGCAGGACACAACATGTTATGCTGGTAACAGTGCTGGACTAAATAGCAATAACACATTTTACGATTTCAAGAGAGGGAAAGCATTGCACATTGTCAGATTTTG